GTGCTTTGTGGTCTATGTTTTGCAATATGAATGGATTTAGTTAATCCCTCCGATGACCTTTTTCTGCGGAGCTGATCTAATCTTAACAGCTGAATCAATACGTTTAAGAAACAATGTAGATGACACTCTCTTGCCACATATACACAGCCAATATCAATAGTCAATTCAATTAACACATTCACGAATAAGGTAAAACTATATGATCCATAGTGATTCAATTCACTTCACTATTAAAAAAATGTGTAAAAGGAATTCAACAACCTCATAAACATCCATCACAATTCCAACACACTATAAAAAAGCATTATGATTATAGTAGAGCTTATCTACAATTGGAGACATCGACTAGCCATGCCGATAATAGTATATCGCAAGGGTCGAACACTCGTATGACTAGACTATGAGTGAAAACTAATGTGTTTGTGTGTTTAAGTTCTTATAACATTTTTTGATTTTTGTCGCAGCTATTCTACCATGCGTGTGTCGGTCCATAGATATCGGAGGTACGATAATGTGTGTCTATGAGATCTCCCTTCCTTATCTGACACATGATAGTCTCTGATTACCATGAGTGGATAGGAGCGACATTAGATCGTAAATAGGAACACAAATAGATCGCTATAACACATGTCGAGATGTGGCTCATGAAACATATTATAACGGCTAAATGGACGTATTAGAAGAGTTGAAAGCATCTATATATGGTCTAATAATTAGTTGATTTGGACAGAGGAGAAATACGCCTGGATAGACATAAAGCTGCTATGCTACTCTTATTAGTGGAGTATTAGTAGCCATTCAATTCTGGTCAAGTATATAACTATTTTCGTCTCTTATGAAATAAATTGATGGTTAGATGGAAGAGGGCTCATGAGGATCACACAGGGTATGGAAAAATAATGTCCTCATTAGAGATGAGGAGAATGAGTGAGAGGAGAAAAAAGACTGTATTCAATTTAAGATGCTTATTCTCTAGCACAAAAGAAAATCTATGGGAGCTTTATTCAATATTGACATCGTACCAATTGAATAATGTCCGAAGTAATCAGTGTTTCTACGAGTCCTGAAGTTCTCATCTGGGTTTGTTAGTTGATACCTGCTTTTTCGAGAATTCTCGGTAGCGTTTCATTTTTATGTCTCTCTTGGTACACCTACACGCCTCCTCTCTTTCTAACTTACGACACATGTTATTTGATGAATACGAGATGCATTTTACCAAATAAAAAGAAGTTAGAATTCCCATTACAATTCACAGATATTTCTGGGAGCCACCACATAACGCGAAAGGGCGACAACTCGCAAACAGTGTTATAAACACCCATAAAAAGGTATAATATACTTTCATAGAAAATAAGAATTGAAGTTTGGGGCATTCTATAAGCTCGAGGAAAATGACTGGAAAGAGCAAGCGAATTAGCCAAGGCACATAAGTACTGTACAGATTTTGGAGGCTACAGATCGGCTGTAAAGTAAAGGTGGGGAACGTGTTAATATCACTTGATTACATTCTGGCAAATCCTATAGCTTATGCACTTTAGAGACACTCCTTAAATTAGATTTTATCAGAGATATTATAACTCTATCTTATGTATGATATTATGTTCGAAGAAATTATGTCTAATTGCAATATTTGCGCCTGTTACCGTATGCGGGAGTGGAACTAGAGTACATTGGTGGCTTGTTCTCCCTCACCCTAGTTAGAGTAGAGAATAAACATGATTCATCATTCATGGAAAGAAATAGCAAAAATTTGCCGCTCTCTACTGCATGGTGCTCAGTTGAGAAAGAAAATTAAGAAATTCGGTGAGAACGACAAACATCTAGGACTTGTTATGTTGACAGACCAAGCTATAATGAGAGAGGAGAATGTGTTTGAGAATTAGGTATAGCTCGTTGCGCGCTAACAATAGATAACCTCTTTACTACCTTTGCGCCTTCTAGATTACATAACACCACTTTTATCTTTTGTGTAACAATATATAACCTCCGGTGTCTCCGTCATCTTACCCAAAATTCTAGAATAATTTTTTATTTATGGTTTTTTCTATGGCTTTTTGAGATTTTCTTTCTCCATTAAAATTTACCTGCTCTTAACCTTTTTCTTTAGAGACAAATTATTACATATCAAGCATTTGAAATTTTCCATTCATATTTCTCATTTCACTGCAAATTTCTATTGCCACCCACAGGAGGATGGAAGAGTATAAAACCATGAATTGCGACGCCCAATAGTACACCTTTCGCACATCTTTTCTAATTATACTTTTTTTCTTATCCTACAAAACTAAATTTTTCACCTTATTATTATTTAATAAATATATATATTATGAAATTAAATGATATATTATATATAATACCAATATATATATATATTATGGAGAATAGTGGAGAGTTTATTTATTTATGTATTTTGCTATTAAATATTCACAGACTATACAAGACACAAATGTAACCTAGAATTACTGGTTTGTAGATGGGTACAACCATTTCGCTAATATGAGGGACAGGTCAATGAGGAGGCCGAGGTCCAGGAGCGGGTACACATGACTTTTTTTATCAAAATGAGAAAATACCATGAATGCTGATGAAACGAGAGAATAGTTAGAAAGAAAAGAGGTAAGAAAATAGGAATATATATGAATATGGTAAGAATAATAATTAACTAATTATTATATATAGAGACATAGAGATATTTATACCTAACAGTTTGTATAGAATAAAATAAAACTATAAACAGAAGACAAAACCAGAATGGAAAAAAGAACTCGAGTAGACAGAATATAAATACTGAATTTCCAAAATATATTATTTATGTATGCTACCTCGAGTGAAACAATTTCGGACCTGCCAAGCTTAAGGCCATCAGAAATGAGAGTAAGGTATCATATAACCTCCTTTAATTACGGGTGGACACTTATGGGAATGTTCATTGTAACTTTCAAAAACCGGTTAAGATATCTAGCTAGTTATGATACCAGTGTAAATATAATTAATTGAGTATCGTTGAATGATGTTAATTATATTAAGTACTTAGTGAGTGATAAGCGGGATAGCACTTTATTAAAGTGGTAAAGAAGGAAATATCATTATATCCAGTAGTATAGTCACTAATCACATTCAGATGCTTAAATCTAGGTCTCTCAAATAATGATCGGAGCATAGTGAAGAGCGCATATTTTTATAAATTTAAATAAGTCTTTGTGTCCTGTAAATTTATCTACCCTATCCATTCAATAGGGCAAATAACGGGTAAATTAAAACCAGGTATTTTAGTTATTTATAGTTTTTTAAGTTAAAAAAAATGTGAGATTTATTTGGCGCCCTAACCCTCTAGACCTCGTGATGGAAATCACGCAGTGCCACAGTAAGTTGTCAAATATCTCGTATTTTGTTTTTTGGTTTCGCGGGTTCTCTCATGAACTTAAAATTAACAATTTCCTTTGGTAGCTATATCCTATATTTTTGGTATAGGTATTTTAATTTTTGGTTAATCTTTTCTTTCCATAAAATCCTCTCCTGGCATTTTTCGGCTAAACTATACACAGAGACTATGCAATATTCGAAGTGTTGAGAGTAGAGTGTGAGCGTAGGAACCAATTGCCTGTTATTTCTAATGTACTTTATTTGTTGGGCTGCAGGCGAGCATTTTCAATTAGATTCCATGATTGAAAATAGAAAAATAAATAGGATATAAATGTAATAATACATTATAAAGGTAAGAATTCAGTTAACCAAACCAAATTAGCTCGAGTTCGATCTGTTCAAATATATTTTTATGGTAACAATCCAGAACCGGATAGTATAAAATCTATTCAAACCGAATTAGCTAGTTGCATATAAAGTCGGTTAATTTTATATGGTAACCGAACTAAAGTAGAAAATCAAACAGTTTTCTATATCCAAATCTATCAATAACCAAAATTTTAAAATAATTATCTGAATTTAACATCATAAGCCGGTTTAGTTTAATTTTTAGTTAAAAATTGAATATTGCTCACCTTTGAATACGTGCAGTTCAAATTGTTTTTGCATCTTAAAATAGCTAATCAATTTATAATTTTATTTTTTCTAATCTCTGTTTTCAATAATTTCAGCAAATACAATATTCAAGTTGTTGAGGAGGTAGAACATGCTGTTAATTTCTATATACAACTATGGTAGAACATGCTGTTAATTTCTATATACAACTATTAATGTATTTTCTCTGTTTATTATATTGTATGGGCAATTGCTGTATTGCAATTTGTGGGAAGTACTAGTGTACTACCAATCAAGAGGAGGAATAAAACAAGAAGGAAGTTTATAACAAAAATGGTAAATAGCTAGCAATTTTTAATGGTTTAAGCTTCCATTTCCTCAAATTGGTAATGTACATACCCATTAATTACACTGGTTGATATATAAGATAATTCTTTTAAAGAAATCAAATTAATTTTTGGATGATTTGAAGTTTAAAATTAAAAGAAATGTAAAGTTTATGCGATTTACACCCTTAAATTTGCGGAGAGTTATCATGACTTTACATTTTCATATTTCAGTAATAACTATATTCCTCATCAAAATAAAATTTAAAAGTGTGAAGTCATAACTGAACTCCTACAAATTTATTTTATTTTAACAAGGAACATAACAGTTACTAAAATGTGAGAGTGTACAGTCGTGATAGGTCTCTACAAACTTGAGAACGCTATAAGGTAAATCACATAAACTTTAGGAGGAAATTTCTTGGGGCTAAAAGAAATATATCATTCAAAAGGTTGGTGCAAGATTATGATTGCTAAACAAAAACTTTGCATATTATCACAATTGCACCTAATTTTAACTATAAGATCAATTTAATTTCTAAATTTCATTGTTTTTGGTACAAACCGAATTTCATTTTGAGTATACTTAAAAAAATTTAAGAAAAGGATGTAATTGGAATAAGTCACGAAGTTAAGGGCACTGGTGTTTATTAAAAATTTGCCTATTTATCTAGCAAAAGAAAAATATAAATAAATGAAAATAAAATTGAAAACCAAATTAGAAGCCAGAATCAATCTGCTGGGAAAAACCAAGCGGACAATGGGTGCATGTAAGGCACTCATTTCCAATCTGCAGCTACCTTCATCACCATCCGCGCCAAATTCGCACAAAACCCCGAAAAGCTCAAACACCAACAGGCGCTTATTCCTTTTATCTCTTCCTATATGTATTACTTGTACTAGTACTACTCTCGTTCTTCCTAGCAATCTCTCCATTGTTCAATCGAATTCTTCGTTGGCTCTTGCTGAGAGCTATGACCCAATTAGCCAAGCCGAGAAAGACACCAGCTCCGCAGTATCTCGAAGGATATCGGAGGCTATAGAGTTTTTGGATAAAGGGAGGGAATTGCAGGCTCAAGGTGACTTCAACAAAGCTCTTCTCTATTTCACTCTGGTTGGTTATGGACCCCCTTTTGGCTTTACATTCTGTTTTCTTTTATTCTAGGGTCTCTTTTTCCTTCCTCTTTTTTTTTTTTTTTTTTTTTTTACTAATGACTACTTAGAGTTACTTGATCACTCCCTCTCAAGCCAGTCAAATTTAACTACTGGGAGCTATAGATTATCTGCTGCACGTAGATGTGTTTCAAAAAGCGCAATTCTTTTGCGTGTGGCCTCTTGCTGAGAGCTATGCAGAGCACCCTAATTATTGCCAAGGCCGAGCAAAGCACTATACCATGCCTCCGCCAAGTATATCTCGTAAGGGATTAATCCTTCTGGTAGGCTATATGGTTTTTGGATTATGATGATGTGAGAGGTGGGGGAATTGCTTATGGCCTCAAATGTAACTTCAACACACCAGCCTCATTCCGTCCTTATTTCACTCTGGTTCGGTTATGGACTCTCCTCCGGGCTCCTTAATTGGTCCTTTACCATTCTGTCTCTTTTCTTTTACGTATATCTAAGGTCCCTCTTTTTCTCTTCCTCCTTTATTTTATTTTTTTTTTTTATTTTTTCTTTTGTATTTCCTAGGTAATAATTGTAACTATGTTAGAAGTATAGAATGCCGGGAGGTAGAAATTCTGCTTGTGGGCGTTGGGCTACGCCCGCAGGCTAGGCCAAAAGGCTAGTGGTGGTGGTGGTTCACAGGTTTCTGGTCTTTTTGAAAAAACAATGCCATTACACTTCTAAAAATGTAGGGAGAGTCAAAAAGTTTAATGTTATGCGCGGTTGGGCTCTTAATTTTATTGCTATGGGAGGAGATAACACGCTAATTAGGAAACTAATTAAGGAATTATCATGAGTGCATTAGCATATTGGGAGAGAAATGCTATATAAAGTATTCGTGGCTTCTTCTGTTGTGCCGTCTCCTGTTCCCATATTCGCTAACATGAGTAAATTTAGGCATAATAGGGTTTAAGAGGTTAGTTGCAACGACTTATTTTTGAGGTAAAGTAGAGTGAGAGGCTATTGTCTCTTGAAATTAAAGTCTGTGATATCCAATTCTCCGTAAATGGAAATAAAATAGTCGATGGTGTACCACATAGTAATTGGGCTTTTAGACAAAACAATCATGAGTAAATAGACCGAATATATCTAACACCTTAAATCTAGACACTATTGGTTCCCATGACTGCAGCATTTGTAATTGCACCATTCTTCTCTCAGATCGATTGCCACTAAATAAGACAGTTGACTTTGAGCATTTTTTGAAGAGCAAAAATTAATGCTGAAAGCCAAAGACATATTTGAGGAAGCTCGGTACATTATGTTGATCTTCTGTTTCCTGTAAATCATATGAAACGAAAAAAATTTAAAAATATTCACTCACAAAAATCAGTGGTTTTTTTATATAGCGTGCCTCGAAGAGAAGCAGCAATTGAGAATTGCATATCACTATTACATTCAATTTACCCAGATCCTAGTGTAATTTGCAGGCGGCGCGTAAGGCGTGAATAGTGGGTTGACAAACCCGTTGGTTTCCGTCAACTTGTCCAATCTACAGTGTATACTGGGGTAAAATGGAAAGACCACTTTATGTATTTTTTGTAACTATCTTATGTAGTCTTTCCTTCAGGCTCTATCCTTCTGGTTAAGATTGGCTTTTTGTAGGTTCATAATGGTCCCTTTTCACGATGATAATGGGCTTAAAAGATTAAAAAGGGGAGAGAGAAGAAAAGCAAAAAAGGAGAGGGAGAAAAAACCAAAGGAGACAAAAACTATGTGGGAGGGGGTGGGCGGCGAGGGGGTCACGGCGGGGGGCACCTTTTTCTTTTTCTCCAGGTCTTTTCTCGTTGTGGGTGAAATTATTCGTTTGAAGGGCTAGTATATGAGATAAGTAGCATTTAGATTCACCGGAGAAACATAATTTCTCTTTCTTAAAGCCTATTTATTCATCTTTCATCCTTGTTTCTTTTCTTGATCCTCCCCTAACCAGGAAACTTTTATCTCAAAATTTCGCTTATGTCCTGTTTGATTGCTCTTTAATTTATGCTGGAACCAAAGCTCTTCATAGAGATATAGTATCTTTCACACCGTTTGTAATATCCCCTACCTAGTCTACGGAGAACCTCAAGCCACCCAGAATATAGGTCATACTCACATAAAAAGAGATGGTCATCATTGGAATTGGTTATCTTTTGGTGTGCAAGACGGACTGCCAACTTCCTCATACGCTGTGTTTTACAGAGTATACAGGCGCCACAACACACACACCACACAACAGTGGTACCTCGAAGAGCAATTTTGGAGGCATCAATGTGCCAAAAGGCGTAAGAGTCACGAAAGCCGTGGCTGTTGTAATACGGGCACCTTAAGGGCGGATAAAAGAAAAGAGTATAAGTAGCAACCCAACCACACACAGAAGAGACGCACGGAGAATAGGGCGTGAGGGATTGGAAAGAAAGATAGTAACAACACACACAGAGAGAGAGAGAGAGAGAGAGAGAGAGAGAGAGAAAGAGCATTCATGTGCAAGGCTAGAGTAGAAAGGGGCGTGAGGGATTGGAAAGAAAGATAGTACCAATTTGTTCTTGTAGATTTTTTCAGAGCATTTGGTGTCTCATTTCCTTATTTGTGTGGAACTCGTGTTGCTGGACATTTCTTTAGCTAGATTTTCTGCAAACATGTTACATAGTAATTGATATTCTAAATCGTAGTTGTTGTGTATCTTTGGGATACTTAAATCTTCTTCAAGGATGGTTTTAAAATTAATGTTATTTGGAACTTAAGTGTTCATCAAGATGTTGTAGAAAGTTAACAAGAAAATAAATGAGTTTCAATTTCAAAGTAATATTCAATCATTTCTTTGAATTTCTGGTAGATTGCAGGAGTAAATTTTTACTCCCTTTTCGTCACACTAGATCCCATATAAGAGGAAATTTCCTTAGATTTCATAATTGATTTTATTTTATTTTATTTTTTCATAATTAGAAAGTGTTGATATATTTTTATATATTTTATCATTTTATTTTCTTTCATAAGTTAAAGAAAGTGTTGATAATTATATATATACTATAATAATAATTTATACACTAACTTGATAGCCCTATACTTAATTATATATAATCATATACTAGAAATCGAATTTGAGATATATATATAGAAATCAATTGAGATTGCCACATAGGCTCTATGTGTCTATAAATTTAGAATTGCATTTCATTTTCATTTCCAGATCCAGTGAAATGCCCTAAAGGAATGTAATAACTCTACAGTTATGGTAAAATGGAAAGACCACTTTGTGTACATTTTGTAACTATCTTTTTAGTTATCTTACACTTCCTTTTGTAAAATTTCCTTCGATGCCTTTTGGTTCAAGTTTACCTCACAAAACCTTCTTTTTCAGTCTTTTTCTGTACTGAAATTATGATTTTGAATTAAGATTAGGTATAATTTCTTTAAAGCTATTATCATTTTCATTTTCTTTCTTGACCCTCAACGCGATATTATATTCTGTTGCTATTTATGTCAGAACCAGCTGTTTATCTGTCAATCCTTCTCCTCTAAAAGCTAAGCCAATACTAGGATACCTATGTAAATTTCTTGAATTTATCTTGCTCAATCCACTTCCTTGCTTTTTACAATCGTGGTATCCAATGATTACTTGCTTAGTTAGGTCAAAATATGCAGCTTTCTTTCAAGATGACAGAGCTAGTGGACAGTGTCTTAAAGTGGAACAGCAGATAAAGAGAGAGAAAAAGCACTGATATTCAAGTGTTGAATTTAGAGGGCCTAGAAAAGTGCTAGAGATGCCAACTGCAAATTCTGTTGTGCGTGCGTGTGTGTTTTTTTTTTTAGTGGAGAGAGAGAGAGAGAGAGAGAGAGAGAGAGAGAGGGACTGGAAGGACAATACCAATGTGTTCTTGTAGTTTTTGTCAAAGCATTTGGTGTCTCGCTTTCTTGTTTGTACGTAGAAGCCATGTTGCAGGACATTTCTTTTACCAGATTTTCTGCAAACGTATTAAATAATTCTTCATATTCTAGATCTAAGTTGTTATGGATCTTTTTAATGCATATATCTTCTTCAAGGATGGTTTCAAAATTAATGTAATTGGGAATAATATTAAGTTTCCATCGAGATGTTGTACAAATGTGACAAGATATAATAATCAATCACTTCATTAAATTTCTTGCAGATTGCAGAAGGAAATTTTTACTTCCTTTTTGTCACGCTGGATCTCACCTAAGAGGAAGTTTCCTAGTGGGGAGTACATAATTGTTTTTAGTTTTTTTCATAATTAGCAAGACTTGGAAAAAATAAGATCTATATTTTGTATTTAACAAAGAAATAATATCTCTATGTGCAAACGCACACATGTCAATTGAGATTGCCACGGAGGCACTATAAGTAGTTGTATTTACACTTCCAAGGCTCTCTGCGCAGTTGTATTTATACTTGCTAGCACTATTGGTTGCAATTCTTAATAAGAAGACACATCCAAGGCATCAGATAAAATTAGAAGTCTCTAAATCTTCCAAGTCATCCGTGTAATTTCTGATGGAACAGCTGCCTGAGCTTAACAATTGCAAAAGATAACTGAAATAGTTTGTGCACCATAAAAATGTAGATATAACCAGCCGTATGCTGATTTGTCATCTGTGAACACACTACAGCGAGTTTGATTTCATCTACTTCAATTATCTGTTCATTGCTGATCTTTTTGGATTTGAAGACCGTAAATGCTTTTTCCTTCCAATCCGGCTACTTTCTTGAATGATGCAATTGTCTTTTGTGACACCATTTAGGCCTGACCATTCTTATTCACCATGAAGCAAAACTTGGCTTGCAATATTTGGAGCTTAATTCATTTTCCTTAATGATAAAATGTATGCTAGTATTTCATATACAAATCATATCATGTTATAATATCATGACCAATCACTTCTACATGTCATTGCAGGTTGTTGAAAATTACAAAGACTTCGCGTTCTCAGAATATGCAAGAGTGGGGAGAGCACTGGCCCTCTATGAGGTTGGAGACAAAGAAGAAGCTATTGCTGAAATGGAGGATGTTTCAATATCTTTGAAGGGATATCCAGGTATTTTTCAAGATTTTATTTATTTATTTTCACTATTCTCTTGTTTAGGTTTTATTTTTGTTTATTTATTCTGTTTTTTCATTTGATATTCTTCCCTTTAATTATATTTTTTTGGTGGGTGGTTGACAGAAGTACATGCAGCTCTTGCAGCAGCCTTGTATGTGGATAAACATGCCCCTTTGCTAGCAGAAAATCAGTTCACAATTGCAACTCTTCTTGATCCTCACTATACAGACCTTTCATATGTTAAGGAAACTAAACATTGGCCTCCAAGTTTGGTCAGTTCCTTGCAACGCTTCATCACGCTCTCTTAGAAATCTGAATTATAGATACTAGACCTGAAAGAATGCATCACATGGCCATCTTGGAATTTGTTTGATCACCAATTGCCGAGAATAAAGCACAAGGGAGTTCAAGATTTGTGTGGGAAGCTATTATTTGGCTCATCTGTTCTAGTATTCATATGTTCAACCTTTTACCATTTTCTTACCCGGAGAGGGATTTTGGGATCAAAGTTATTGTATTATAGTATTGACTGTCTATAATCATAGACCATACGACTAGTTAGTGATTTTCTATAGCAGGTTAGCATGTAAACATGATATATTTCAGAACAAAGTATAATTCTCTTGTTTGAAGGCTCACTTCTCTTCTGTGCTCTGTTATTGCATCCTTATTTTAGTCACAGTTGACCAACCTAACTTATTCCTTTGCACTTTCTGCTTGATTAATGTCTGCAGACCAGAAACTAATGACAAGTTTGGTTATAAAGCTTTGTTGTTAAAGTACTAGCTACGAGTAAGTATCGCTACTGAGTATTCACGTGCACATAGAAATGATTTGTACTTGTAGACATCTAAAGTTGGAGACACCGGCTTTTGACATTTTAATCCAAAGGGATGCATTGTGGTCTGGTAATGTTGCATAGCTACAGTTCTTTTCAACTTGTGCCTGAGGAAAAAGAAAGTGCTATATCTCATGCTTGCTCAGCGAGCCGGCAATGTAGACCATTCCATTTGGTCTTATTTTCAACAATACTTAAATAAGCATATGTCTACAGCTACTTTATTTAATAAGGGGCAATCAACCCTTCATTCTTGACTGTTAAGGTCATTGTGGGTCCTCTTCTAAAAACAAGAATACTCTTCTGTTGGTTTGGTGCGCCAAAAATTTCTACCAATAGCAGTTTTCATGTGAAGCAATGTGCAGACAAATATTCCACTAAGCTTCCTCAAATTCTATCACGGAAATTTCTTGAATTGGATAAGGAACAACCTATTCATTTATTTTCTATACAATGCCAAACTTTCCAGCTATTAGGGCATGTCATATCTGGCACGAGCTATGTCCTTTCAAGATTAGAATTTGTGTTTCTAATCATAGATGATCCGAAATTCTGAATATCAACTTTGAACTATGTCCTTTCAAGATTAGAACTTGTGTTTCTAATCATGGATGACCCGTAATTTTGGATATCAACTTTGAATCTGTTTGGAAAAATTAGTTTTTTTTTATTTGAGTAGCTTTGCATGAGTTAACCTTTTATATAAAACGCTACTTTAATATCTAAAAACTAGTTCAAACGCTATGTTACTGAACACTATAAAAAAGAAAAAAGTATTTTGTCACAATACTAAAAATTACTTGAAAAACTGATGCGAAACACAACTTTTATCTTATGGGCATGGAATGCTTGAATTTTGATGAAAGCTAACTGTTCAATTGGCTATGCAACGTTGGACTTATTCGCTAAAGACCGCTATTTACAACCATTGAATCAAAGGGAGTTTACATCTAAATTTATGTTCCAATAATTAAACTAAAACGCACATGCAAGAAGTGGGTTTAACTTGAAATTAATTTTGGTCCACTTCCGATTGTTTGAAACAAATTGCTGAAAGTACACCATCTGGACTATGAGTGGTGAATGAATGTTAAATTACTGCCTTAAGATGCATATATAGATTAACATTTTCTTTGCACAGATTCTTTCTTTTATAGAGGGAAATCCTTCGACCCTTTAGAAACAAGCTCCCATTACATTAATTTTTTTATTTTCTTTGACTTAAAAATGCTTTTGTTCCTCATTCCACTTGGATCTAAGAAGCTTAAGCAACATTCTTGCATTTGTTTTGGTTCTAACACTGCACTGGCTCTGCAGAAGCAATAACAACTGGGTCAAAACTCCGCGGCAGATTGCTTCTTCCCTTGCCTGTAAAGAATCACTGCAGATTACCATTAGTGATCTAACAGCACTTTCACTGCCTTCATGATCTGACACCCTGAAAACCATCTTAACTAGAGAACTAACACCATTAGGATTATTTATCACAGCATCTTTTGCAGTCTCTACTCTTAGAAGAATCTCAATTGTTGCCATTGCTTTTGGTGCCAAGTTTCTGACATTTTCACGTCTTTCGGTGTTAGAAATGTACATCAGGAGTCCATTTATCACACCTGCTTGAACCAAATTCTCTCTATTTGATTCCAAGGAGCATAATGCATATATGGCTTTGATTCCAGCCTCAGGTACTCCACTAGTCTGTTGAACAAGAAGAATTAGCCCTTGCAAGATTTGGCGATTTTCTCCAATTATAGCACATAGCTCTTTTGTTTCTAAAGATGATGATATTCCTTCTATAAGATGACATAAACCCTCTTGCATCATGCTACTTCCTTGTTCAAGCAAAATTCTGAAAGATTCCAACTTGGATTCTTCTTTTAGCGTGTTTAAAGATTCTAATTCGCCTAGAATAGGCAGCAATTTTAGAATAGAAGAAAGTGATTTCTCTGCAAAATTGATGCTTTCTTGGGATAATTTTGATTCTACTGATCCAAAAACTAATTCAAACAGTAAAGGCAAGAAGCCTAACTGGATCAAACAAGAATTCCTTGATATTAATTCATCGGATAGAGATTGAATACTTTTGAGTGCTTGAAACTTCTTCTCCAACGTAACCTCATTAGACACGAGACTGTGTTTAAGTGAAGCTAAAGAATCAATTGTTTTCAAGTAGTCAGGATCTAATTGAGGACCCATTTTCAACCACTCATCGATCAAATGGCGAAGAGTGTGATTAGGAACCATGGATATATCATGAAGCTTCTGCATTGTAACGGGGCATGTAAGATTACCAGTAGAAAGCCATTTTTCTATGCTTGATCTGTCATAGGTTTGGCCTGTGCATAGAGTTACTGGATCTTTGAACAAGTCTAGGCTAATTGGGCAAATGAACAAATGAGGTATAGTCATTTCAGCTTTGTTCATGGAAGAAAGCAACACAGGTTGAAGAACACAAATATTAAAAAAAAAAAAGGGAAGTATTGGTGTTGGATTGATGGTATTGGATAAAAGTTCAGTACCTAAGAAGTGGGTGCTGAAGCCATTGAGGACCACTAAAAGTGCACAAAAAGGAGAGAAGACATAGAAATATAATATAGAATGCAAGATTGTAGGTTATTATAGGAAAAACCTTAAAGAAATCTCCTGAACTAAACAATGGGAGAATTATAGTGGAAGTGGGCCTTTTTTTTATGACTTTTCCTTTTCTCAATTCAGATTCTTCATGCTATAGTCCAGAAATGGGCATGTATTGAAAATATGGAACTAACTTATGATGGCATAAAAATAAAAAAGGAACCAAAGAGAAGAAAGTGCTAGGAAAAGGTCAGATAAGAAAAAAAAGGGTTAGCAATAGCAACCTTCTTCTTCAGTCCATACAGCCAGTAGCAGCCAGGATTTGATAGAAAGAGAGTTAAGGACTTCACTGACAATCATGGAAGAGAAAGAGAGACGGAGAGAAGGAGAAAGAGAAAAGAGAGGCAAAAGTGCAAATCTTAGATGGAGGAATCAAAGAGAACAACAGCATACAAACACTAGAGAGAGCCAAAAATGGGCCTTACTCCTTGGTGATAGGGTAAGATATTGCAACTAATAATATAAATGATTTGTGGGAAATGGTCCCCAAACTTTCCATTCTTCTTCATCCCTTTATTTTATTTTTTTCCCTGTACCTATCAAAGCAGTCAAACTGACCCACCTAAAGAAAACAATAATTATTAATGTGTTTAATTGAAGTTTGAATGCACCCACATTGCACATTCACTTGAAAATGAAAGATGATGTTGGTCATCACAGGACTCATGGGAATAACAATAGTATGGCCAAGAAGCACTAGTTATATATATTCTCTTAAGGAAAAAAAAAAAAAAGAAAAGAAAAAAAAAAGACGGGAGAAATCATACCAATATGGTTTCAAGCATTATCCAAATTTCTGCATTTCAATTTATTTGAATTTTTGGGATTCTTACTTTTTAGTTTATTTGTAATTTGGAGTCTAATACCCTAATCTGCTTGTAAATGATGTTGGCTTTAGATTTTAATTAAAAAAAAAAATTAAATTTAAATGAATGCCAAAGTAGGATCCTTTAGAGATTACAATTAATGAAAATAAAAAATATTTTAGTAAACTGATAACAAAAATTATTTGCAGCTATAAATAATATAGAAAGACAAAAGGAAAGAGTAACATGAAAGGAAAAGTTAGGAGAAAGAGACTGAAATGAAATTAATCTTCAGTTTATTTTCGAAAAATAATTTATAAATATACATTGATAAATTGATAACCACTATCGTTGCTTACCAGCCATTGTCTGTTACCATTACCACATGCTACCAGCCACTTCCCGCCACCACAATTAGTCACTAGGTTAAAATTTATTACTTTTTTTCTCATTTTTAACAATGAATTTTTAATTTTTTTTATAATTTTATATATTAAAAATTTTAATTTTTAACTAATTTTCAATATTGTAACCAAATAGAAAATAAATTATTTAGAAAATATGTTTTTAAAAATATTTCTTGAAATATTTTTCAAACATAACTTATTTGTTGAGATAAACTGAAACTTAGTAATAATATGATGTATACGTCACATATTCCAGATTACTTAAGTTAACGTATATATTTAGTGGTTGTACGATTGTATATAATAGGGTTATTATTGTAGCTTCATATTGATTGTCTTAATATAGATTTGAATATTGTACTAAATGTCAGTGTTTGATCTGAAAATTTACATTGATGTCATTTACATTATTTAATTGCTATTGTATCCTTTAATTTTTGTTAGGCCGTTACAAAACAGAATATTTCGATGTTTCATTCTTTTCAATATTTTCTTTTTTCTTGTGTTTCTTTTTTTTTTTTTTTCATTTTTTCTCCTTTTGCCATTAATAGAATAATCTTTTTTAGTCTTTGAAACTTATTCGGCCGCCATTATATTTTCTTTTCTTTTTACTCTTCCACACTTGCGTTATTTTGATTCACAAGTTTTATTGATTTCTTTTCTTAATTATGTTTTTTAGCTATCGTTTCTCATTCTAAATAATGGTTTTTATTTTTTATTCTATTATTTTTCTTTTGCAATTTTATTTTTGTATAAGCGTATCAGCAACTTAATGCTCACTGGAAAATTGTTACTATTATGAATATTGTTTATACTTTGAAGAGACAAGGTAGGACTCTTAATTTTGTTTGAATTGATACTGTTATAGTGTATATATATATACACACACACACACTGTATTTATTTAGTTTGATCCAAAGTATTAATTGGCGTGCGCGTATGTATATATACATTCTGTATTTAATTGGTTTTACATATGTATATATATCGTATATATTTTGTATATAGTATATACCCTGTATATACCATATATATATATATATATATATCATATTTACCGTTGTGGTCGTCGTCATTGCTATCATCGATTGCCGTTTTCTTTTGTCTCTTATGCCCTTTTTAGTTTTATTAGGACACTACAAATAGAATACTTCAGTGTTTTCTTTTTTTAACATCTCAATTAGAGATGATCGGTTCAATATTTTGTCCTAAAGGAGGGTTGTGACTCCTAAAAGTACTCTTACCAATGTAAGAGTCTTTTCTCAAAAATTCCTTTTCAAATAAAGGCGCTTCTTTGAAGGTGAAACAAGTTTAACAAAAGAAAGCTATTTTCATAAATTAAAATTAATCTAAGCTCATTCCTTACGTCTCAACGATGCATCTCCACTAGCACAATTACAGATCTCCCGAGCTAACTAAAAGACAATAAGGATAAAAAAGGAGGCCTTGAGGGGATTTGGTTTGCAACTCAGTTTTAGAGACTCGAGCCTGCCTGCTTATCCCTTGGAATGAGAATCAAGACAGTAGTTCTACCCATTGTAAATAAGGGTTGATTGATTTTAATTGAAAAATAGGTTTATTGAAGACCTTATTTATCATGCTTTTAGGCACTAGATTATTGTTTTGTAAAAAATATCTTAGCATGGATTGCTGGATGTGGTTAAAAGAAGGCTCTTTGGAGCCATTCTTTTCTTTTAGAAGAAGAGAAGACTATATGTAAAAAGGTAACGCAATTAGAACTTACCTAAGCCTATGGGCGAGACCGACTAGGTAGACTAAATTGCTGGCTGGCTCAGACTCTTGCTTTCCTTCTTCTATGGAGGATTGGTTAGGATCTTTCTAGTTTGTAGCTTCAGCTTCACTTAGATTTCTAAGGTTGAAACTTAAGCCAAGTGAGGTCTAGGATGCCAATAAGGACCTAGACCTATAGAGGACTTTTAGTGAGGGCTTGGTGAGCCAAAGAGGCTTCAAGACGAAGGAAGGAAAAGCTAAGAATTTAGACTAAAGAATACGATTAGGGGAAAGTGAGCCGGAGGAATATCGATCGCTCACTTAGAACACTTAAGAAGAGTGGAGGAGATGAGAAGAGAGCTAGAAAGCCAAAGGAACAACTAAGGCCTCTAGAATTTACTTTGGTGTTTTGAACTATATTTTAGATATGCTTATATAAGAATTGAGGCCTAGGGGAGTGTGTGTAACACCCTCTTTCCGCTCCCATGGGACTTGGCAAGGACTGTCAGATTTTCTGCCAGAGGCACATACTAACTTACTCACTTTACTTAAAACCCATTATTTAATCCTATCTTTAAAAGAGGTTGGTTTACAAAGACATTAAAGCAAGAAGCAGAAGACTCAATATTAAATTTTCTAAAATCAAATCAAGTTTTAAGACTAACAAAATTATATTTCAAAATAAATGATATGTAAGCCCATCAATCAAACTCATAAAATAGTATAGGAAAAATCCTGTAGCAAGACTACAAAGAGCTTCCTCATCTTTAAAAATATAACTTATTTCAAAATATACTGTAACACCCACCGACCAATTCTGGAGAACTAGACAGCGGATGCTACATTCGGTGCCGGAGCACCATCTTATGTCACTTATTAAAGTTAGATCACAAATTAGAAGTGGTTAGATTTTCATAGGGAGGCAAGTAAACAAAATAAATAAAATAATATTTAAGGAAATTCCTACGAAAATTTCGCAAGACTTTCCCCTGAAAATTAACTTGCCACACAAAGAAAATATACACAACATTTGAATGATAAAAAAAGGCCTAATTAAGTTTCTTTTTCCTTTGAATATTAAAGAAAAGAACTTGAACAAGTTACTTTATGTAACACCCACCGGTCAATCCTGGAAAACCAGACGGCGGATGCCACAAGCACTTCTAAATATCTATCAATATACTTAGGTTCCATCACAATATTCTAAACGCATTCTTTTCAAGGAATATATAATCATCTCAGCCCTTATAAATAGGCGGACGCGCTTATTTGTGTGATGGGGGTGGCGTTTTCATAGGCCACGATTATGTGATGAGGGTGGCGCTAACATAGGCCACGATCAAATCTGCTTATGTTCATTCGGTATTAGTACGAGCCAGTATACTCACTCCATTGCCAATCTTGTATGGGGGATTTGGCTTGATCTAAAGCGAACAATTCCTCTGGTGATTAGAGTCAGGCGTGACAGTTGGTATCAGAGCTGGACCCCCTCCAATAGATGTATGGTTCGAGGACGAACAAGAATAACCAAGGCAAGTCTCGCAAGTGCTAATTTAATTAAAACACTTTGAAAGCAATAAGAAGATTATAAATACAAATATGTCTTCATTCGTTTATAGCAAAAATAAAATTTCATTCTTTAAAAATAAAATTTTTTCAATTCTTAGTTTAAGGCTCATACTAAAATACAGAATGATACATAAGCAGAATTTTGATCGTGGCCTATGTTAGCGGCCACCCCCATCACACAATCAGTGGCCTTGAAAAGCGTTCACCCCCTTCAACACAAATTAAGCCCGCGTCAGCCTATTTTATAAGGGCTGATAACCCTAAGCATATGAAATCATAGGCTTCAAATAATAAAAATCAATCTCATCATACCATGCCACATTTCAAATCATGCATAGTAGGCCCCCAAAATCAAAATCATTCTTTCACAAAGAACTTTATACTTACTCAAATTCTTAATTTCAAAACACTTCATTACTTAATACCGCCATCATTCAAAATTTCTCCGAATAAAACTTACAAAAATACCACATTTCTTTTAGATAGTTAATATATTTAATAATAGAAATAAAAGTCATAAATCAAGAAATTTTTGGCATTTTCATAAAACTTTGAACCTTTGCTGGGTTTTTAAAAACCAATAACTGAGTGTATGGGTCCCTCCAAAAATTGAATGAAATCAGATTCATTAGAAAGCTAAGACAAAAATTTATACAATGTTATGAAAGGGACTATAGCCCAAGATAATGCGGTAAGATAGAAAAAAAAGCCTAGGGAACATAGACCAACAAATCAGACCTAATTCAGCAGAACCAAGTCCAATGTTTATTGCATTCCTACTTAACCAAACCACCTCAAAATTAAACCAATCCAGAATGAGGAGAAGTCTCAAGAACACAGGGAAAACAAACTTCAACTTTTATGAAGAACTCAGAACCTAATCTTATTATTATAGTGGTCAAAATGGGCACTCAATTCAGTGATGCATGTGGCTCGACACAACA